TCTCCCCGCTCACAGGACCACACGGAGGTGCCTCGGCATCCCTGTCCCCTACCTCCCCCCCCCCCTTTGGACCGGGGGGGGATATCCCGGTATACTCTAAAGCGTCTGGAGCAAACCGCTTAGACCGAGTCTTCAGCCTCAAAACTCAGCTTATGCAACTCAAGATGGCGGCTGCTGACCACAACATGTGCCACAGTCAAGGCCCCATACGCGGGGAAACCACAGACACCCTGCAGCGCTTGGAGGAAATCTTTCTCCGCTTCTGGGAGAAACTCCAGGAGCGCGAACAGAAAACAGAGACCAAACTACAATTCCTGAAAGACAAGAGTGAGCAAGGCCGAATGCGGCGGGGTAGGAGGGTGTCACCCTCGGGTGCAGCGCCTGTAGCAACGACCACCCACACTCTCCATAGCCCACCCGGGCTGAAGGCCACGGGGGTTCAGACCCGGAGGCATCGTCCACACCTGCGGAGGTGCCAACGCCGCAAGCGGCAACAGATCATCAGGCCCCCCAGCGCTCCCACAAGTGGAGGGAACTCGGCCTCTAAGAAGAACCGAGTTTGTGGCAAAGAGATGTGGGCCTTCACACCAGCCTGGGGCTGGAGGGACACCTACACCCGAACCTGTATAGCAGCGGCACGCCAAGACCCACCGACAGATTCCATGCGTTTCCCAGCGGAGGGAGTTGGCTGACTGGGACAGATACACGCATACAATCCCATGTCTCCAGTGATCAGCTACACATACCGGCGGACACCTCACAGACATGTGGATCCATCTCCCAGGGGCAATACCTCTTAAAGCCTCAGATGACTTTCTCTTGGAGCTCCAGACAGTAGTGCAAAGAAATGGTTGGCAAAGTCTGATATGTCTGGCCAGTCTAATACTCCCACAGACTCACACTAGATGGACACAATCTCATATAAGTTACCACATATGGCAACCTAATATATGGAATTGAGAACTTCCTTAAGCTTATGATACCAGCCTGTCTTTTTATATGTCTATACATTCACATATGTCCTCCTTGATGTTTTTGTTAACCCTTTCCAACCCAAACCGCACAAATCTAGCCACAGCAACAGAGCGGCGGGCCTAACATGTGACTCACAGACACTCGATCATACCCACGCAATGCTATAACCACACTAAGCAACATACACCCACGGGAGTCAGCTAGCCGATAAAGATACACTATACTCTATTTGTGCTCCCACACTAGGCGTACACTGTAACACGGTTGATTTGTAGATTCAGCTATTATATCTCAGGGGACAGAAGGGGAGGCTGGCAAGCAACTACATATACTGGTCCCAGTCCAGACATGGTTACTATGCTGTGTAACCTTATTGTTTTAACCATAATCTCTCTACCTATCATATATGTTTATATATGCCTGTACCTTAATCTCTTCTCTTTGTGACACAATGGATGTTTAAGCCTGTTTTTGAAATACTATTATGCAAAGCTTCCATGTCACTGTCTTATAAGGATGCCACTTTACATAACTACAGTTAAGCCTGTTCATAACATAAAATTGTGCATACTGTTCATCTGTCCCGCATGTTAAGCGAGGAAAGCTTGGGGACTGCCTTTGGGGCACCCCGGGCATGCCTGTATAAATTTTATGCACTGCAAAAAAAAAAAAAAAAATTAAAAACCCACCTTTTAAAGGGACACTATTCACCAGAACTACAGCTGGATATTTTCATGTAAACACTGCCTTTTCAGGATTTGGGCTGCCCTATGTATGACAAAACTGGGGCACCCCCTAAACTAAATTTGCCCCACCCCTTCCTGTCAAGGCAACACCTTATCCTGTTTGAGATCAACATGTAATTTGACTGAGACCCACACCTTCACAGATGCCTGAACTGATAAACACTCACTGACAGATACACAGTCATTGGCACACACATTGTTTAACCAACACACACATTCTCTGACAGACACACACTGACAAGCACACACTCTCAGATACACATACACTGACAGACGCACGCACTGATAAGACACAAACTCACTCACACACTGACATACTCACACTCACTTTTTCACAAATTATTATTGTTTGTTTATGTTAATTTAAATCCAACCAGCCTCCCTACCTTTGGGAAAGTTGGAGTGAATTATTTCCCAGTGAGGCTGATCTCCCCGGGGTCCAGTGAGGCTGATCTTCCCGGGTTTCATTGGGGCTGATTTTCCTGGGTTTCATTGGGGCTGATTTCCATGGAGTACAGTGGGGTTGATTTTCTTGGGTTTCAGAGGGGCTGATGTCCCTGGGAACCAGGCATGCATACTGGCTGGCGTGTATGCAGTGTAATCTCCTTCCTTTGCTCCCTCGTGCACCCCACAGGGATGCCAGGGCCGTAGTGACATAATACGCCGGCTCACGGCATCACCGCAGGGCAGATCAAGGATTAGCGCTCCATCACCGCCCACCTCGGGGGGAGCCAAAAGTGGCCAATCTAACAAGGCATCTACTGGGCGTTTGGGTGCCATCCAACAGAAATGGCTTGTTAGCCTAACACTAAATACAGCCCTGCACCTCAACACCCCTGGCGATGTAAAGGGTTATCAAAATCAAAACAAAAAACTTTAAACACTTATGTGAGTTCATCACTAATGTCCCTCAGCGCTGGCTCGGGCTCCTCCTCTGTCGATGTCAGCCAATGGAAGAAACCTAATGTCCACCATAGGAAAGCATACAAGGCTTGAGGACATTCAACTATGTTTTATGTAACCAAGCTCTGTGAACTGCAGGAAGCACCTCTATTGGCTGTTAGGTAAAACTGCAATGTTTTACACTGCAGGGTTAAGGGTTACAGTGACACTTCACGCAGACCACTTCAATGAGATGAAATGGTCTGGGTGCCTATAGGGTCCCTTTCATAAAAAATGTGCAAGCCAAACCTTTGACATAATTTTTAAACTAGATACTACAAATCCATGTCTTGACAAAGACCGGATCTGGGGTTGAAACGTTGCAGTGTCCCACATGTTCTAATAAACATGCCTGCTTGTATATTCTAATAAAAGCACCCTTTGTTTTATGCGAATTGAGTGCGGTTCCCTCTTCTATTTTGCAATAAATAATGTTATGGCAGCTTTGTTATAGTCAAGAAAAGAACTAAAATATTTCATATTTCTGGGCTTTCTTTAGGCAGCTGGCAAGTAGTTCCATAACTCTTGTCCGAGAATCTCAAACCCTGGATAAAACTTGTAATTTCTCATATCTACGTGATGTTAAAGCGGCTCGATTCTCCTCTCACACGGAAAAAAATAAAATATGCAAAGACCCCAGAATTAAAGGAACACTATAGTCACCTAAATTACTTTAGCTAAATAAAGCAGTTTTAGAGTATAGATCATTCCTCTGCAATTTAATTTAGGAGTTAAATTACTTTGTTTCTGTTTATGCAGCCCTAGCCACGCCTCCCCGGCTATGATTGACAGAGCCTGCATGAAAAAAAAACTGGTTTCACTTTCAAACAGATGTAATTTACCTTAAATAATTGTATCTCAATCTCTAAATTGAACTTTATTCACATACAGGAGGCTCTTGCAGGGTCTAGCAAGCTATTAACATAGCAGGGGATAAGAAAATCTTAATTAAACAGAACTTGCAATAAAGAAAGCCTAAATAGGGCTCTCTTTACAGGAAGTGTTTATAGAAGGCTGTGCAAGTCACATGCAGGGAGGTGTGACTAGGGTTCATAAACAAAGGGATTTAACTCCTAAATGGCAGAGGATTGAGCAGTGAGGCTGCAGGGGCATGTTCTATACACCAAAACTGCTTAATTAAGCTAAAGTTGTTCAGGTGACTATAGTGTCCCTTTAAAGAGAGCAGCTGTAAACATTGCAATCAGCAACAATTTACAATGCCCATTTTACGTGATTATTTGGTTTCAACTTTACATCAACCATGTGAGGGCCAGAGAGTTAGTTTGCAATATGTTTAATAGACAAGCACTATTTATGTTTTACACTGTATGTTGACTGTATCAGGCACATTTAACTAATAATATACAGTTTGGCTGAATACTATCAGGAATGCAATGAGATCAATATATTGGATCCTTAATACACTCATTTGTATAATCTTTATACATAATTTGAAGTTTACATTGAACTTGAGGGCCTTAAGTTGTAAACCCTGGCAAAGTATGCCCAAGAATGAAATTACATGTTAGGGCTCAAAGTTTCCACAAATCCACTGCCCATTGGCGAGTGGAATTTAAGCCCTGGCAAGGGCCAGGGATCCTCCAGGCTGCAGTGGAGGGCAACCGTTAGATGTCTCTAGTATTGAAATGAAGGTCTTGTCATAAGTAACTAAATGTTAGAAGCTAGGCCATTATTATTGGTTAGTTTTAAAGTTGTTGTTGCAGTTTTGGTACAGACATTTGGGCACGGGTGTAAATAAAAAAAAAAGTAAATAATTAAATTATGATTTTGGTTTACATTATTAGTACTTATACTTACCATTATGCTAACTGTATCCATGTTGTCTGTTAATTCAATATAATAAACAAGTCTTGCAAGATGCCTAACTTGAGGCTTGAAAACTTGTGACCACACTTTAAAACTTTTTAACGATGCATAAGAGAGATAAAATGTTTTTCTTTCTTCATTTGGTGTGATCAGGAGTATAGCAGTCCACTCCTTCGACCCATGCCAGTTCTCAGTGAACTGGCGCACACATGACAAGAGTTTTCTGGAAACAATATGCATTCTCTCACCTGAGGAAAGGGCCTAGGTGTATTATTCCACATTGCAATGTGTGTGTGTGATGTCTGCCAACTAAGTAGCAACATATGACTTTATGACGTGTACAGCAGTCTACATATGTCTGCAGTCAGCACAGATGGTACTACTATCAAACATATGTATGCTTTAGTACCACGTTACAGATAATTGTGTACAAATTATTAAACCTATAATACTTAAACACTGATGAAAATTTCCACTGGTACGTTCAATTATTTCGCAAAACACATTGGAAACAGAAAAAAAAAACAGCTTTAATCTTACATAAAGTAATTTATGAAAACATTGTTACCTTCTGCCACAAGTTCTTCCACAGTAACCTGATAACGCCCAATGGTGAAGCCTCTGCCCACAGTCACCCCTCCACTGGTAGCAGTGCCCGAGGACCCTGGACATAGACTAGATCCACCACCACCTCCTCCTCCGCCGCTTTCTGACTTGGGCATCCGAGAAAACTTCTTCATTGTGATTAAAAAGTCTTACCAGCACCTTTAAGGAAAACAACAGCAACCAGAGTGTGCTGGCACCAAAGACTGGCAAATTCACAGCTCTGTGCCACACTCTCCGCAGATATGTCCGGTCACAAGGGGATAGTTAGTACCTTATCTCCCTGGAAGGGGATATTGATATCTCAGTGGTATTTTAGATAGCAGCAGGCACACAAAAACAGAAGAGCTCAGTACAAACTGACTTAAAAAAAAAAAAAAAAATTACATGCAGCTGCAGCACATTCTCAGAGCAATGGCACACACAGCAAATGCAGTACTGTATATAGAAAATGCAGGTAATTGGGCACCAGAGCCCCAATAGCAACAGTGATATACACACAGCATTAAAAAAAAATAATAATAAATCTCACATTTGTGTTCTTATAGAAAGGCTGCAGCATACACAGTGCTATGACCTGCAGAGGCAGTGCCCCATGGTCTCTACCCTCTGAGGGTACTAACACAGTATCTCACACACTGGGCTCATCTGTCACCCTGGCACTCAGTGCTTGCTAGCTCGGGGGTCTTCGTGGAGCCCCCCACTTCCACACAGTCCTGCCCGCCGTGCTGGTCACTAGTAGTAGTAGTAGTAGTTGTTGTTGGGTTCTTGAAGTGCTGGAAACGGAAGAGGATAATCCGAAATTCATCCATTCAGAGGCCAAAAAACCTCCTTCTGCTTCTGCTTGCTGCGGCTGACAGCTCCACCTCCTGCCCGCCCAGGAAACTGACAGCCAGGCAGGGAGGGGAAGGAGGGGAGGCAGGGAGCATAGAGCTACTGTATGCACAGCCAGAGTATATTGCCGACCGAGGGGAGGGGGGGAGAGATATGGCAGGGCACCATGGCAACAGGGGCGCTAGGCGGTCGCATAGCTTGCAGCACCGGCTGGGGCCGACTCAGGTCCTCGGTAATGTATCGGGGGGTCTGAGACTAATGCCAGGGAGCTTGCAGTCTGCGCCTCGGGGTGCAGACCAAGTTCACTGCTCCGTGCAGCGGGTCAGAGCGTTGCCCTGGTTACCAGGCAACGCTCTGATTCATAATAGAACACTGGCCCGAGGGAGCGCTGAGCATAGTCTGCACCACCTGGTGGTGCAGGTAGCTGTCCACTGGGATCAACTCAACCCACCTAAGCCAAGAAAAGTAAGAGGGAGGGGAAGAATAAACTGTAGTTAGCTTTTTTTAAAAAAAATAAAATGAAATAAAAATGTTTTAAAATAAAATAATGTTTTCAATGCCAAGCCTTTGCACTTCCACCCCCCCCCCCCAGCACCCAATAATGCCCCTATTTCACCTTAACGTGCAAAAAGCCCTCTATCCCCCCTCCCCTACACCATACAGCCCCTATATCCCCCCACCCCACACACACAATACAGTCTATATTTTACTTCAACATACTACAGCCCACTGTTCACACATCCCCACACAATAAAGCCCTTATATCCAACCCCGTCACCCACACACTGTAACCCCCATCCCCACACACCATAGCCATTACACTTTCCAAACATTATAGCCCATATCAACACATGCGTTATACCACAAACAACCCTCTCCGCACACAAACAATCTCACATGCAGCCTCCGCACACAACACTTAGGTAGCCCACTAGACTTGTGCACTAATCCTTTTCACCTGTGACAAACTAATACAGTAATTGTTCATCTAAGCCCGAGAGAATCGATCCATCATGTAAATCCCTGATGGATCACTTAGTTCATCACAGGTGGAAAGGCTTTGTGCACCCCCCACGTTAAAAAAAAAAAAACGTACACTGCGCAGAAATACACCCCAAACATTTACACACTGATGAGCCATGGAAATGCACCACTCAAATTCACACTCTATTGCTCCATAGAAATGCGCCACACACATTCACACATTGATAAAGCTCATAAAATTCACCCGCACATTCACTTGCATACATTCCCTGCATTAGGGCACAAAAAAGGAGGAATGTGATTGTGGGTGATGCACAGGGTGGCCACCATGGGGTGATAGCCAGAACTATATTAACGGTTCTGGTCAAGCAGGGTGGTCTATGGTAGCCTGGGCCATTTAACACAGTGCAATGACTGCCCCTCTTTATTCCATTGCTGGGATAAATTGATGTCATGGCATTCGTGCCATGCTTGTTCCCCACTGGACCACAGGGATACCAGTTGCAATGGTAACTAAAAAGGAGGGTGGGTAAATAAAACAGTATTAGTTGGGTGGACTTGTGTGCGTTGTTGTTGTGTGCAAATTCTGCCCAAGGGAGTAGATTGACCCAATTGTCTTCATGCTCAGATATGAAGCAACACAAGAACTGTTCAAGATCTTGATTCATTCTTTCTGCAGCACCATTGGTTTGCGGGTGATAGGAAGAAGAAAAACACAATTTGACGCCAATTGATTACAGAAAGCCCTCCAGAAACTTGAAATTAATTGAGAACCACCGTCTGAAACTATTTCTTTAGGCAGTTCATGCAACTTGACAACCTCTCTAGTAAAAACAGTGGCTAGTTCAGAAGAGGTAGGTAGTTTAGACAAGGGTATTAAGTGAGTAATTTTCTAGAATCTATCTATGATAGTTAATACAGCTGTCATCTTTTTGGATGCTGGTAAATCCACCAGAAAATCCATTGCCAGACTTGACCATGGTTTGTTTGGTATAGGCAAAGATTGAAATAAACCACAAGGTTGTTTATGTAGTGACTTATTTGCCGCACAAGTAGCACATGCTTCTATAAAATCACGAACATCCTTTTTATAGGAAGGGCACCAAAAGTGATTTGCAAGAAGAGCTTTATTTTTATGGATTCCTGGATGACCTGCTAGATTCTTCTAATGCATAAGAGAGAGAACAGTTTCTCTATGTTCTTTAGGAAATTATAACTTATTGGAAGGTGTCTTCTCCGGTGCTTGATCTTTTTTTTTACTTTTAGATTCATCAACTCTGATCTAATTTCGATCTTGTTTTTGGCTAACAAACAGTCCTCAGGTATAATTAATTACATTTGTGGTTCGGGACTGGTTTTGGCATACAAATGACGAGATAAGGCGTCAGTTTTTTTAGAACCAGGTCTGTGTGTTACTATATTGTTGAAATGAGACAAGAACAGAGACCAACGTGCCTGCCTGTCTGTTAGTCTTTTATCATCCTCAAGATATGACAAAATCTTATGGTCAGTTAGAATCGTTATTGGAGTGGAGGTGTCACGTATTCATCCGCTTATAGAAATGTGGTTAATGACATTTACTGTCCACACAGGAAAAGTTGTGCCGAGCAGCAACCTAATCCACAGAAGGTTTAATGCTGAGCAGTAATTGTGCAAATGAAATCTGGTCTCATGTATTCATCCGCTTATAGAAAAGTGGTTAATGACATTTACTGTCCACACAGGAAAAGTTGTGCCGAGCAGCAACCTAATTCACAGAAGGGTTAATGCTGAGCAGCAATTATGCAAATGAAACCTGGTAACTGACTTTGGGGTCAAAGGCCGGTTACAGCCTATCAGAAAGAAAGGAGGGGTATTTAGGCCCAGTTCTCAGCCTGCTCAGTGCCCTGTCGTGGTTTCCCTTGTGGTTGTCTGAGAGCGCGTTCCTGTTTATAGTTTTCTACCTGTTTTTGACTTTGGCTTTGTTTATTGACTTCTCTATATTCTGGTATCCTGACTCCTGGCTTTCCTCATCGCTGTGTCCCTTTCTGTGTTCCCTGACCTCGGCTAGTATTTTTGACTATTCTTTGTACGTTAAATCCGGCCATTCTAAGGACCGGTAATACGTTACTTATTTGTCATCCGTGCTGTACAGTTCTACGTGCTGGATCAAACAGTAATCCTGACAGGAGGACCCTTTTAAAACGTGTCTTCATTCCTTTAAAGCAGTGATTTTCACAAGGATGAAGGGGTAGATAGCTGCTAGACTTTGAGAGAGTACTGCCCCTACACACGTTTCGTATATATCCACCTCCAACAAAAAAAGTAGAGAAGGTTCATGGTGTGCCACTATAGGTGCCAAGGCAAAAAAACTTTTTAAGAGATTCCAAATCGGCAAGGGTTTCAGGTGCCCATTCTTATTGTGTTCTTCCTTCCTTAGTTATTGAAGTGATCGGGGCTGTTATAGATAAAAACCCTTTAATGAATCTCCTCTACTAATTAGCAAAACCAAAGAAACGCTGCATGGCTTTAATTCGATTGGCAAAGGTCAATCTAATATAGCCTCTAGTTTCTTTGGATCTATTTGAAACCCTGTACTGGATATTATGTATCCCAAGAATTGTACCTCTGCGCTGGGATCGGGGTCCCAAGATATAGGTGCTTATATGCGCACAGCCGCACGGCCTGCACCCGCCAAGATGGCGCCCGCACCGGCCTACACGCCACTGTCCTCGGAGGATGACAGCAGCACAGCCGACCTCTCCCCTCCACCAAGGCGGCGAACAGGGCCAGCAGCAACCACAGCACTAGAAGACTCGGCCCCAGCCACAAAGGCGGATATTAAAGCCTTGGTGACAGAGATCCAAGCCATGTTCACGGCAGACCTGGCGCCAATAAGAGAGGCAGTATCCATCCTCACTACACGCATGCATACAGTGGAAGAGAATATGACAGGCCACAAGCTTGCACAGTCAGCCATAGATGCAGCTATTGGTGCCCTGCAGAAACAGTGCGCCGATCATCAGGCTCAGCTTGCCAACTTACAGGATAAAGCCAGGGCACGTAACTTAAGGGTAAAGGGAGTGCCGGAAACCGTTGCAGAAGCAGAACTCCCTCACTACTGCAGGAGGCTCCTTGCCACCCTCCTCCTGCCCAAACAATCCAAACAGCTGGTGGTGGACTCCTGCTTCAGGCTCAGCAAGGCAACAAACGCAGCCCAAGAGGTACCCAGGGATGTACTGTTCAAACTGGTGCGGGACTCTGACCGGGGTATTATAATAGGGGCGGTCAGAGACAACCCAACGGTGTCCTTTGAGGGAGCACAGCTAGCATTTTTTCGGGACTTCTCCAGACATACCCTATCATGGCTGAGATCCCTCAAGCCTATCACCTAGCTTCTTCAAGAGAAATCCATCACCTACAAACGGGGCCCCGCCGATTACTCGCCAACAAAGCGGGGAAGACTCACACTATATCACACCCTGATGAGGCGTCAACCTTCCTGCAAGCCCTCGGCCTGACAACGACAGAGGCGCCGACGGCAGGCCACCCAACTTGGAACATAGCCAACGTCACCTCATTTGTGCCCAGAGGGGGAGCACCTACAGCAGTGGAACTGCCACCCTGAACTTGGGGACTGAACTTACCTGTGCACGATACACCTCACAAAGTTCTATAACTGTTGCTCTCCTCTAATGTTGATAACTTTTCTATGTATTTTCTCTGTTGTTATGTTGCCGGCTCCGTAGGCCTTAGATGTAGCTCTAAGTTAAAGTCACCATGTCCCCCCTCCCACCCCACCAGCACAAGGTTGCCAAGCAAAACTACTGCGCAAAAGTAGCAGACCACTGATTATATAGCACATGACCCTAACCATCCCAGAATAGCACTACCAAGCGACAACCCATACCCGGCTTTAAGAAGTTCTATACTGTACACACCTTAAATTATCGCCTTACTAAAGCTTATGAATCATGGCACGACGCAAATTAGCCACAAGGCGCATGCAGCCCAACTCCAGCACCCCCCAAGCCACACGCCTAAGAACCACCCATAGGGGAGCCTGGGTGCATAAGCCCCTAACAACAA